CCCGACCCCCGGGGACCAACCGGCCAAGGGGAGACCGAGGCCCCAGGGCGCTCAGACACTCGCTCAGTGCTCAGCATCTAGGACAGCGAACGGGCCACGGGGGCCACAGGCACTGCCGTCCACAGGGACCCAACGGCCCGGCCACAGGACCCCCAGGTCCTGAGTCTGGGAGGATGGGGAACACCCTGCCAGAGGACACCCCCAAATGCACTGAGCTGGGGGGCTGGAGGCTCAGGCCCGGGGGGGCTCGGGGTGGAGAGGCCACCGGGGAGAGAGGAGGAAGGCTGGGTGGGCAGGGTGCTGGGCAGTGTGGCTCTCCCACGGAGCCAGAGACCACCAGTCCTGCTGGCCTTGGGCAGATGGGAAAACTGAGGCCGCGGGAGAGAGGGCCTGGGTCATGGGCCCCTTCATGTCCTAGCCACCTGGACCTTGGGGGGGAGGCAGGAGGGCAGGCGCCTGGGGGGTGGGGGGTGGCACGGAGGAACCCCTGGTGGGCAGGGGTGAAGGCAGCACAGGCCGGGAGCTCTCTGCCGAGGGGTGGGGCACCTCTGGTTGAACCGACCCCCACTGTGGGCAGGGAGCTGCCCAATCCCACCAGACCTCAGGCCTGCCCACCCCCAAGCTTCGGAGTAGAACAGCAACCCAGCCAACCTCAGGGGCGGAGGGTGGAGCTCTGGGTCCCGCATCCCAGCCCGGGAGCAACCCCTGGGGCAGCCAGCATCTGGGAACAGGGCTCAGTCCATAGGGACCACTGGCCGGGCTCAGGCTTCCCTGCCGACTCGCCTGGCTGTCGGCAAAGGCGTTTTCGTCCGGGGTCTTTGCTGAGAAATCCCCGCCAGGAAGGGACACAGATGAACGGAACAAGCGCTCCAACCCCAGGGGTGTCAGAGTCGAAGGCCCCGAGATGCCGCCCTCACCCCCCCAAATGGCAGACTCGAACACTGGGGCTCGGGAGGGTTGGGCCGTGGCTCTAATCCAGACTTCCTGTCCTCGTTCCAACTGGCCAACTCCTACTCACCCTTGAAAGCCCACCCCAAATGTCCCCTCCTCTGCTCTCCCGCCCCCACACCACAGGGGTGAGTCTCCTTCGTGGCAGGCTGACAGCCCAATGGCGGGTCACGTGACAGACAGCAGAGGGGGTGGGCGTCCCCACGCAGCCAGGTTATGAGGACACTGGAGGCTCAGCCCACCCCTCTCCTGATGTGAAGGAGACCCCAGGGCAGGGCCTGCTAGGGGGTCAGGGGGACCCAGAAGCAGAGGCTGAGGGGCAGGCAGGGCGGGCGCACAGATGGGGGCAGTTGGCGCTCCTCCATGGGCGGGGCCCTGCGCCCGAGTGTGTCCTCCCCTCTGACGCTCGCAGCCACCCTCCGAGAAGCCACTGATCCACCCCGTTTACAAAGGACACGGAGGCCCAGAGAGGTCACGAACTTTCCACACAGCTCCAAGTGATGCAGCCGGGGACACTCAGCCTGTGCCAGGGCCGCCACGTGGCGCAGGGACCGCTGCCTCCCTGCGGAGCCGCCCTCCGAGGCCGCCCTGTCCCTGGAGGCGCTCACTACAGCCCGCCAGCGAGAGAACGCTTCCTGCTCTTTCCCAACTGGCCAACTCCTATTCACCCTTGAACACCCAGCCCCAATGTCCCCTGGCTGCTCACAGCCCTCCTGTGGTGGGGGCCGGAGGAGGGCACGCACACTACCTGCGCTTAAGGGACAGTAAGCTGGAGGAGCTGTCGGAGCCATCGTCCTGGAAGCGGCCTTCGTAGGAGCACCGGTTATACGGTAAGTACAGAGGGGTGGACTTAGCCGACGGCGACAGGGACTCCTCGGTCTGGGACGCGGAGGGCCCCGGCTGCTGGCCGTCCGGCAGTTTGCCATCACAGGACTCGGGGGCCTTGGCCAGAATCCTATCAATGGCTAGGTAATAGGGCCAGTCGGGCGGGACGGACTCGCTATCTGTCATGCATTTTAATTTCCTGCAACGAGACACACAAGAGCCAAGTGTGAGAAACAGACCTGCTCCCGCCCGGCCCGCCCGGCCCCTGGCGGAGGCAGCGCGGCTCCGGGACCTGGGGGGCCACGGGGCTCGGGCGGCAGCCACTCTTAGGTCGACAGGCCTCCCCAGAAAGATGGGCCAGGCTTCAGGGCCAAGGTGACACTGGGCTTGGAAAGAAGCTGGACTTGGGACCTATGCAGCCTTGGACGCTAAAAGCCGCAGCGTGAAGGAGGCGGGGCCACTCCATCGTCCCTCGCCTCGCCGTGTGCGGCAGCTGAGCTCCCGGCAGGGAACGGGCCCTGCCCAGCGAGGCAGCACGGTAAAGGCCATAACGCGACCGACGGGGAGCACATCAGAGGGTGGGACGTGGTGACACACGAACATCAGAAACCGCAACGAAGGAACGTGTGTTTCTGAAGAGGCCGCCTCGGGGAGCCAGACCCACAGGAGCTAAGGGCACAGGCCTCGGCGTCCAGCTGAGCTGAGATGTGTCTCTAGCTACCACTTTGCTGTGTGACCTTGGGCAGGTTCATTAACCTCTCCGAGCCTCCATGTTCACGTCAGTGAAATGGGGATGATCAACGCGAGCTCCTCACACGGCCGTAGGGAAGGTTTAGGAGGACGATGCCCGTGCCCGGCGAACAGCGGGCTGAGTAGATACCATGTTGGCGGAAGGTGCCAGGAGGCAGCAGGGCTGGGCCGGGCAGGCCCCTGCTCACACTGCCCGACATCCCTCGTCTCCACTCAGACCTCAGGCCAAGAGGCTACACAGCCCCGCTCTGCCCACCAGGGGCCCGAGCGCCCACAGGCCCAGCGTCCTGCCCTCCCTGCAGACAGGCCCTGGCCCGGGCCATCCCGAGGTGAGGGCTGGG